CAACACCTGGACGAGTGTTTCTCACCGTGCGTCACATGGACCCCAGCCACCCTCACCTCCCTCTCTCCTGTGAGCACCTGGCGATTACACTGGGGCTGCTGCGCAATCCAGGACGCCCTCCCCACCTCAGGACCCTGAACTTGATCATGTCTGCAGAGTTTCCTTTGCCATGTGAAGGACACATTCACGGGCTCCTGGGGTGACGGAGCAGATGTCTTGGGTGGGGATTCACAGGCTCCTGGGGCGACGGAGCGGATGTCTTGGGTGGGGATTCACGGGCTCCTGGGGTGAGGGAACGGATGTCTTGGGTGGGGATTCACGGGCTTCTGGGGCGATGGAGCGGATGTCTTGGGTGGGGACTCACAGGCTCCTGGGGCGACGGAGCGGATGTCTTGGGTGGGGATTCACGGGCTCCTGGGGTGAGGGAGTGGATGTCTTGGGTGGGGGCGTTGTTTTGTCTACCACACATGCCAAGTAAGGACAGGGTCCCCGCACAATGGGAAGAGTGAAGGGTCCATTTGCCTGGATCGGAAGGAACGTATGAGGGAAGATGTGGAACTGGAGGCCTGGACTGGAAATTCAGGAAGGGAGAGAAGTGTCTTCTCCATTCTCTGCCGAGGGCCTAAGTGGCCATGGACCACATCCTGTGCTATTGTGATATCAGGGTGGCAGCCATGGGGCAAGGCTGGCAGACACCTCCATGAGGCCCTACGTGCCAGAAAGGCACAGGCTTGTAAGCTCAGGATCCAGGGGAGCTCAGCTCGTTCAGAGCAATTCCCTTCAGCAGTAGGAACAGAGCCCTTTTATCACATTAAATCCATATGTAAAAGAGATTAAAGCAGAGCCGTTCAGGCTGATGCAGGGTGAAGGGTCCCCAGAACCACCTAGGCCTCTGCCCATAGAGGCTCCTGGGGCACTTCCCAAGGGTGCAGAACACAGCGGGAAAACCCCGAGCGAAGTTCAGAAGGCTAGGTGGCGAGCAAGGACTCAGAAGGGCTTGGAGGGGATGAACATTCTCATGTGTGATGGAATGTGGGCAGAGCTGCTCACAGCAAGGTTTACACAGGAATCTTTGAGCTCTCCCAGGAGCTGAGCCTCAGATAAGGATTTGAGTGCAAGCAGTTTATTTGGGAAGTGGAAGGAACATGGGGAGCTGAAGAAGAAAAATCTTTGAGCAAAGGAAGGCAGCTGGTGTGAGCCGTCATGCAGCCACTGCAGCGTGCAACTGGGGCTCACGCTTAAGAGGAAATTCTGGGAATTGGGGACGGGAGGTGACGAAGCTGGGGAATGCACACCTGCCAGTCATTGCTTAAGGGCTGGACTAGATGGTAATTCCCTAGTTCTTCCGACTTCCTTCCTCCTGCAGGCAACAAAGTCAGCTGATGGCAGACAGGCTGACGCCATGCCCTGAAATAGCAAAGGTCTCCTTGGGGATATGGGCGAGCACCTTTGGCTGCCCCAGGGTGGTCTTATCGGTGAGTCTGGTGACAGCAGAAGCGTCCATTCTGCCTGTTCCTCCATCGCTACCTGTGGTGATGCACCATCAGCGTCCAGGTTCATGGGGAGGGCACCCCACATCCTGCTCTGCGGTCCTCACACCAATGCTGCCTCAGGGGACAGCTGTCATTTCTGGCTGCCTATTCCGCCGGCCCTCCCTGCAGCACCGAGTCTACCACAAAATGACTTTCCGTCATTGTGCAGGGAGAAAGAAGGCCTTCTCAGAGTCTCTGTCTCTTGGTGACCGAAGTGTCCATCTCCATGTGATCAAAAGGCATCCAAGCTCAGGCACAGAGAGAAGCAGCGTTCCTAACTCCAGAAGTTCCTGGGAGAACAGGGCCAGCGTTCTGACAGAACAGAGATGCGCATTCAGTGTCCTCTGGTAAATGAGCTTTAGTTCTGTACCAAGAGCCTGTAATTACACTGACCAGGCTGGGGTACTGGAGCTGATGAGTAAGGCACGAATGAAAAAATAAAAGATCCCTTTGTTTTTATGCTCATTATGCCTTTTTGATGACTATACAAAAAAAAATGCCTTTCAAACAATGAGCTTAATTAGCAGATTGCCCTTTCATTCCCGGCCCCAAGCCATGTGCCCAGCAGTTGGTCATAGCCAGGTGAGGATGCGGTGGCCCTGCCTGCCTTCCTCCTCCCACCCACCTCCGTGTTCCAGAACATGGCATTTGGGGCTGGCCTTTGCCATGCCCCACATCTCCCAGCAGCCTTTGGGCTGAGCTCACTGCAGTCTGTGGGCCCAGCTCTGCCTGGCAGCCCTGGCTCCTCAAGACAGGAGTCTGAGGGAGGGAAGGAGCAGGTGGAAACCAAGCTTCCTGGTCTGATCAATCCAATCCGGCCTAACCTGGCCCCAGCCTACATTCCAGGTCCACATGCCCTTCCCAGAGGCCACCCACTCTCCGCGTCCCTGTCCCTGGCCTGCTGTCCCTGCTCCACACTCCTCCAGCATCCCAGATCCTGCCTGTGCCTCAGGGCGACTCGCCTCCTCCACGAGGCCTTTCCTGTTTCTTTTTTTTTTTAATATCTTCATGAAATTTTATTTTTTTCCCCATTTATTTATTTTATTGCATTTTAGGGTTTGGGGTACATGTGAAGAACATGCAGGATTGTTGCATAGGAACACACGTGGCAGTGTGATTTGCTGCCTTCCCCCCCATCACCTACATCTGGCATCTCTCCCCTTGCTATCTCTCCCCAGCTCCCCACCCTCCACCGTCCCTCCCCTATTTCCCCCCAACTGACCCCAGTGTGTAGTGCTCCCCTCCCTGTGTCCCTGTGTTCTCATTGTTCAACCCCCGCCTATGAGTGAGAACATGCGGTGTTTGATCTTCTGCTCTTCTGTCCTGTTTCTTTTAAGGCCTTTCGCCTGCACTTCCCCCATTGTCCTCACTGCTTTAAAATGGGTTCAATTACAAAGGCAGGACCCGGCATGTTCTTCACAGAGAACACTTAGAAATGCACATGTACCTAGAATGTAGTATGACGCCCTCCACCAGGGCCTATCGGCTCCCCGCCCCTTCCCCCAGGTAACCACCGGGCAGCTGGCCACACTCTGAACGTCGCACGCGCTCGCTTCTGTCCTTCAGTGGACTGCATCTTGGACACTGTCCATGTCAGGTCCTACAGGTCAGCCTAACTCTTTTGGTGGCTGCTGAACTGCCCCCTTCGTCACCAGCGCACTCTCATGGGGTTGCAGTGCGTCTGTCACTAACGCAGTTGCAGCACGCATGTCCTCTTCCTCCTCCCCTTTCCTCCTCCTCACCCTCCTCTTCCTCATTACCTTCCTCCTCTTGTTCCTCACACCCCTCCTCCTCCTTCTCCCCCTCCTCCTTTTCATCTTTTATGCAAATTAGAGTTCTTAAGTTGATTCTTAAAATGTCATTCTTACTCCCTTGCATTCTGACTTTCTTCCCACTCTATAATATACATGCATACAAATATTTTCATTCTGAAATATTTTTATAACATGGACAAGTATAGAGAATCATCTAAAATACCTACACGCACATTTAACAAGGAGTAATATTTTTGAAATACAGGCATATTTCATTTTATTGAGCTTTGCTTTATTTTGCTTCACTAATACTGTGGGTTTTTTGTTTTTTGATTTTTACAAATTGAAGGTTTCCAGCAACTCTGTGCCAAGCAAGTGTATTGGTCTCATTTTCCCAACAGCATGTGCTCACTTCGTGTCTGTATGTCACGGTAATTCTCCTCATATTTCAAACTTTTTTATGATCATTTTCTGTGTTGTGGTGATTCCGACCAGTGATCTCTGAAGCTACTATTGCCGTTGTTTAGGGCACCACGGACCACACGCACAGAAGACAGTGAGCTTACTACCGCGTGTGCTCTGACTGCCCCACCAGCTGGCCAACCTTTCTCTCTCTCCTCTGGCCTCCCCATTCCCTGATTCACAACAATATTGAAATGAGACCAATTGATAACCCTACTGTGGCTTCCTAAGTGATCAAATGAAAGGAAGAGTCGCATGTCTCTCACTTTAAATTAAAAGCTAGAAACGATTAAGCTTGATGGGAAGGCAGGTCTCTCCTTATGCTGAAACAGGCTGAAAGCTAGGCCTCTTACGCCAAACGGTTACCCAAGCTATGAAAGCAAAGGAAAATTCTTGAAGAAAGTTGGAAGTGCTACTCCAGCAAACACACAAATGTAAGCAAGGGAAACGGCTTTATTGCTGATGTGGGGGAAGTCTTAGTGGTCTGGGTAGAAATCAAACCAGCCACTGTATTTCCTTAAGCCAAAACCTAACCCAGAGCAAGGCCGTGGCTCTCTTTGATTCTATGAAGACTAAGAGAGGTGACGAAGCTGCGGAAGAAAACTGTGACGTTAGCCGAAGTTGGGCCATAAGGTTTAAGGGAAAAAGCCATCTCCATAACATAAACGTGCAAGCTACAGCGGCAGGTGCTAATGGAGAGGCTGCAGCAAGTGACCCGGAAGAGCTGGCTAAGATCACGGATGAGGACAGATTTTCAGTGTAGACCAAACAGTCTTGTAACGGGAGAAGATGCCGTTTGGACATTCATAGCTGGAGAGGAGACGTCAATGTCTGTCTTCAAAACTTCAAAGGACAGGCTGACTGTCTTGTTAAGAGCCGATAGAGCTGGTTTCTTGAAGTTGAAGCTGATGCTCGTGACTATTCTGAAAATCCTAGGGCCCGTCAGAATTATGCCAAAGCTACTCTGTCTGTGCTCTGCACATGGAGCAACAAAGCCTGACGGCACATCTGTTTGCAGCATGGTTTACCGAATATTTTAAACCAACTATGGAAAGTATTGCTCAGAAAAAAGGGATTCTTTTCAAAATATTACTGCTCATTGACAAGGCACCTGGTCCTCAAGAGCTCTGATGGGGATTTACAAGAAGATCAATGTTTTTTTTCATGCCTGCTATCATAACACCCATTCTGAAGCTCATGAAATAGTGAAATGAGTTATTTTGACTTTCAAGTCTTATTACTTCAGAAATACATTTCATAAGGATATAGCTACCATAAATAGTAATTCCTCTGATGGGTCTAGGCAAAGTAAATTGAAAACCTTCTGGAAAACGTTCACCATTCTAGATGCCATTAAGAACATTCACAATTCACGGGAGGAGGTCAAAATGTCAACATTAGCAGGAGTTTGGAAGAAGTTGATTTTAGCTGTCAAGGATGACTCCCAGGAGTTTGAGATTTCAGTGGAGGAAGTCACTACAGGTGTGGCAAAAATAGCACGAGAATGAGAATTACAAGTGGAGCCTGAAGATGTGACTGAATTGCCTGACTCTCACGATCAAACTTGAATGCATGAATAGTCGCTTCTTGTGGATGAGCAAAGAAAGTGGATTTTTGAGATGGAATCTGCTCCTGGTGAAGATGCTGTGAACATTATTGAAATGACAACAAAGGATTTAGAATACTACATAATGTTAGTTGATAAAGCAGTCACAGGGTGTGAGAGGGCTGACTCCAATTTTGAAAGCAGTTCTGCTATGGGTAAAAGGCTATCAAACAGCATTGCATGCTACAGAGAATCTTTTGTGAAAGGGTCCATCAGTGAGGCAAACTTCACTGTCTTATTTTAAGAAATTGCCACAGTCACCTCAACCTTTGACAACCACCATCTGATCAGTCATCAGCCATCAACGTCGGGGCCAGACCCTCCATCACCAAAAAGACGACTTGCTGAAGGCTCAGATGATCATTGGCATCTTCTCAGCAATAAAGCATTTTTAAATTAAGCTATGTCCATTTTTCAGATATACTGTCATTGCATACTTAATAGACTACAATATAGTGTGAATGTAACCTTTACATGCACTGGGAAACCAAAAAATTTGTGTAATTCATTTTGTTCTGGTGTTTCCTTTATTGCAATGGTCTGGAGCCAAACCTGTAATATCTCTTTCGTCAAAAAGAGAAAAGAGAACAGAAACAAACTCAGTTGCAGGTCAAGCGAAACCCTCTCACTGTTCCTCATTTCTCTCCTCCCGACATTTTTTCAGTACATCATTCTAATGCTGTGTATTTTTTTTTCATCCTTGTTTTCACAGTTTGCTACTGTGGTGGAGGGGGACAAAATATGAGGATATTGAAGAACCTGTACGGAGCATGGCGCAACCAGAGCGATGACCAACCCTCTGCCACCCAGCTTCCTGAATGTTGATTGGCCCCTGAATGTCGATTCTGCACACAGGGAGTCTTTCGTCAAGAGATATGGGCGCTCTTTCCTTCCGCAGCTTGCCCTTCACTCAACGTTATACTTTGAGATCGCTTCCTGTAAATACTTATACGCCTAGCTCGCTCTCATTAACATCCTGCTTTCTTGATGGGGAGAGGAAGTTATGTCCAGGAACCCAGGGGTCATACAAACAGAGCCTGTCCTAACAGGGCCACAGCTCAACCTCACACAGGTATATGAGATGCTTTTACGAGGATTGGGCCAAACATGGTTGCGATGCCCATTGCTTTATTTACTTGCAGAATTTGAAGTTTTGTAACATTTGGATATGCCTATTGTGAGAAACAAACTCACTTGTTCAAACCCAAAGAATGGACTCAGAGAACCGGGCAACAGCGAAAGCGAGACTTTCAATGACAGTGTTTCGGGATCAGGTGTCTGATGGGCAGGCACGCCCAGCACAATCACAACAAGCCGTTTATCCCCCAGTGCGCAGGTCCCTCCCGGTTCCCCACAGGCTGAGGACTGCGGGGTCACAGTCTTCCCGCACGTCACCTCTCGGTTGTTGGGTAGGGGCTTTAGGTGTTTTCTTCAGGACTGTCCTGCTGTGCTTTGTTGCAGCCCATGACGCATTGCAATCCTTGTCAACTCAGGGGCTCTTCAAGTGTTTGACTTATGACCTAAGTAGCTGGGCAGGCTGATAAGAACAGACAAAGGGGTCTATGTTGCAGGCTAGTAAACTTCCATCTTAGACTAAACTTCTTTGGTTTGGGTGAGGGCAACTAACAGAGGGGTGGGGGTGACACGCAGGCATTGGCTGTCCAAGCAGCAGCCTAGTATATCCTGTTTCTTCTTTCTGTAGTTTGCTGACCTAAACCAACTCAAGGCACTTTGTCTTGAAAATGGACCACTGGATACATTATTTCCTTCACTATGAATATGTAAATGTTATATTTGCTGGGAGGAAAACAAAAAATTGGGAACAGCTAGACTAGGGAGGCATTTTGCTACTTTGTAAATAAACACAGGGTCCTCTCCTGGCTGACTGTTGACAGTCCTAAGAGAAAACACCATGTCCGGTACAGGTGGGAGGGCTGGGATGGAGAAGGGAGACCCTCTGTGCTGTCTGGGTACAAATCCAACAGCACCAATAGGCGAAGGGCCCAGGATGCCCTGGGGAAGTGAGAATGCCCGTATTAGCTAGTAGAGGGGGTAGGGATGCCAAAGAGAATGGGTCATAGCGTTAAAGGGTTGGAATCTGCTGTCTCATTTGCTTAAGGCATCACAGGATAAGAAATTCAGGCAGAAAGCACAGGTCTACTTCAGGGAAAAGTCATTAGCAAGAGAAGTCTGGACTTGGCACCTCCCACAAAGATATCGATGCATCTTTTCCTCCCTCCCCCTTTCCCAATAAAATCATGATTCAGGAAAGAGGCCGATACTAGTCATAGTCCCTGCAAGTAAGTCTCTGGAGCATTTGCATCCTTCTTCCCAAGCGTGGCATGAGACATTCTGTTCCTACTGGATCAGGTCCATGCATCGGGGCACACTTCCTGTAGAGGAGAACTTGGCAACATCTAGCAGAGCTACAGACTCATTTACTCTTCAGCCAACCTAAGCAATCCCACTTCCAGAAATTCACCTTTAAGATACACGTCCACGATACAAAGCAAAATGTGCAGGAGGTTTGTTATAGTGACATTAGTTATAAGAGCAAAAAATAGAAATGATTCAAATGTCCATCCGTAGGGGATTTGATAGAGTGACCTACTTGCTCCAGTTTTGAAACTGGAAGTTGGGGTGCAGGGAAATTTCTCAGTCTCAGACAAACTTTGTCCCATTAGTCTTCAAGCATTTCTGGACCAACAAGACATATGAGATTCTCCTTGTATTTCCCTGGAATCAGCCATTTCCTAAAAGAACCATCACTCATTTGAGTGGGGAAGGGTACTGCTTATTTTTATTTTTATTTATTATTTTTTTTTGAGATGGAGTCTTGCTCTGTCACCCAGGCTAGAGTGCAGTGGTATGATCTTGGCTCACTGCAACCTACGCCTCCTGAGCTCAAGCAATTCTCCTGCCTCAGCTTCCCGAGTAGCTGGGATTATAGGCACCTGCCATGATGCCCAGCTAATTTGTGTATATTTAGTAGAGACGGGGTTTCGCCATGTTGGCCAGGCTGGTCTCAAACTCCTGGCCTCAAGCGATCGCCTGCCTCAGCCTCTCGAAGTGCTCGGATTACAGGCGTGAGCCATCAGTGGCATCAGCTGGTACTGGTATTAGAAGCTAAGATTTGGGGGCTCGGTGTACTGAGGTATAATTGCTTCTAGCCCCTTCCAGTTGACAGAGAAAAAATACAAATATATATATTATATGTAATATAATATGAGATTATATTTACTCCACTTCAAATGGAACATTTCAGGTTTTCCATGACATCCATTGCATTTTTGTATATAAATCAGTTTTCTTTTACCCAAAAATTTTTTTGATTATTAATCATATTAGAATATATTTACTTATTTGTTTTATTCTCTAATATACATAGAATAGTTTCAGGAATTTACTTGCTTTAATTTTACAATATACCTATAATTTTTCCAAAGTTAAAAACCACTGTTACTAGCACTAATAAACTTACACAGTAGCCTTACATATTTGTGTGCAGTTCTTTTTACTCTTGGAATGTTTTCCACAGACGACTAGAACCAGAGAGCTGTATCGGAGATGTCTGAATTTTCTTTATCTCGGCCTACCTCTGTTACTAATGTGGTATGCAATTAGGTTCCTTTAAGCCTGATGTGTTTTCAGTTTTAAAGTCTGTCTTTCTCTCTTTTTGATTCAACTTACTTTGTGAATATGTAAAATTTGTATGCAAAGTCAAAATTACGTGAAAAGCTGTATTTGGAGAAGCCGCGTTTCCACTCATATCTCGTCCTTCACTTTCCCATCCCACTGCCAGGGGCAACAATTTTTATTAGTATCTAGTTTATCTTTCCAGTGTTTCTTTTAGTAAAAACAAGCAAATGTATGTGTGTGTGTAACATATGTGTGTTACATTCTTATTTCTCCACCTTTCTTTTACAGATGGTAACACACTATACACACTGTTGTGCGTCTTGATTTTTCCCATCTAACAATGTGTCTTGTGAGCACATGGAGGTCTTCCTCCTTCCTTCTCACAGCTGCATAGCACACCCTGGGTGCAGATACAGTGGCGTCTTCAGTGGCTCCCAGTGATTACCTCTGGGAAGGGACTGAGGGAAAGGGAGGGAGGGAAGGACAGAGGAGAGGTGACAGACTTCTATATTTTATTATTTAATGTTTTATAATAAAAAATTATTGTATTGCTCTTCTAAAAAATAGGCTTTGCCTGGGCAACATGGCGAAACCCCATCTCTTAAAAAAATTTTTTTAAGCTGGGTGTGGTGGTGCACACCTGTAGTTCCAGCTATTTGGGAGGCTGAGGTGGAGAGATGGATGGAGCCTGGGAGGTTGAGGCTGTCGTGAGCTGTGACCACGTCACTACACCCTGGCCTGGATGACTGAGTGAGACCCTGCCTCTAAATCACTAAATAAATAAATAATAGACTTTATCTAGGGATGGAGGAAGATTTACCAAGCAAATGGAGAGCAAAAAAAAAAAGCAGGAGCTGCAATTCTCATCTCTGATAAATTAGACTTTAAAGCAACAAAGATCAAAAGAGACAAAGAAGGACATTACATAACGGTAAAAGGATCAATGCAACAAGAAGAGCTAACGATCCTAAATATATACGCACCCAATACAGGAGCACCCAGATACATAAGGCAAGTTCTTAATGACTTACAAAGACACTTAGACTCCCACACATTAATAGTGGGAGACTTTAACACCCCATTGTCAACATTAGACAGATCAACCAGACAGAAAATTAACAAGGATATCCAGGACTTGAACTCAGACCTGGACCAAGCAAACCTAATAGACATTTACAGAACTCTCCACCCCAAAGCCACAGAATATACATTCTTCTCAGCACCACATCACACCTACTCTAAAATTGACCACATAATTGGGAGTAAATCACTCCTCAGCAAATGCAAAAGAACGGAAATCGTAACAAACAGTCTCTCAGACCACAGTGCAATCAAGTTAGAACTCAGAATTCAAAAACTAACCTAGAACCGCACAGCTTCATGGAAACTGAACAACTTGCTCTTGAATGTTGACTGGATAAACAATGAAATGAAGACAGAAATAAAGATGTTCTTCGAAACCAACGAGAATGAAGACACAACATACCAGAATCTCTGGGACACATTTAAAGCAGTCTCTAGAGGAAAATATATAGCAATAAGTGCCCACATGAGAAGCAAGGAGAGATCAAAAATTGACACCCTATTGTCAAAACTGAAAGAGCTAGAGGAGCAAGATCAAAAAACCTCAAAGTCTAGCAGAAGACAAGAAATAGCTAAGATCAGAGCAGAACTGAAGGAGATAGAGACACAAAAAACCCTTCAAAAAATCAATAAATCCAGGAGCTGGTTTTTTGAAAAGATCAACAAAATAGACAGACCACTAGCCAGATTAATAAAAAAGAAAAGAGAGAATAACCAAATTGATGCAATAAAAAACGATCAAGGGGATATCACCAGAGATTCCACAGAAATACAAACCATCATCAGAGACTATTACAAACAACTCTATGCACATAAACTAGTAAACCTGGAAGAAAGGGATAAATTCCTGGACACTTGCCTCCTCCCAAGCCTAAACCAGGAAGAAGCCGAAACCCTGAACAGACCCATAACAAGGTCTGAAGTTGAGGCAATTAAGAGCCTACCACCCAAAAAAAGCCCAGGTCCAGATGGGTTCACAGCCGAATTCTACCAGACATACAAAGAGGAGCTGGTATCGTTCCTTATGAAACTATTCCAAACAATACAAAAAGAGGGAATTCTTCCAAAATCATTTTATGAGACCAACATCATCCTGATTCCAAAACCCAGCAGAGACTCAACAAGAAAAGAAAACTTCAGGCCAATATCCATGATGAACATAGATGCAAAAATCTTCAATAAAATACTGACAAGCCGATTGCAACAGCACATCAAAAAGCTTATCCACCATGATCAAGTAGGATTCATCCCGGGGATGCAAGGCTGGTTCAACATACGCAAGTCTATAAATGTAATTCACCACATAAACAGAACCAAAGACAAAAACCACATGATTATCTCAATTGATACAGAGAAGGCCTTTGACAAAATTCAACAGCCCTTTATGCTAAAAACCCTCAATAAGCTAGGTATTGATGGAACGTATCTCAAAATAATAAAAGCTATTTATGACAAACCAACAGCCAATATCATACTGAATGGGCAAAAACTGGAAGCATTCCCCTTGAAATCTGGCACCAGACAAGGATGCCCTCTCTCACCACTGCTATTCAATATAGTACTGGAAGTTCTAGCCAGGGCAATCAGGCAAGAAAAAGAAATAAAGTGCATTCAAATAGGAAAGGAGGAAGTCAAATCGTCTCTATTTGCAGATGACATGATTGTATATCTAGAAGACCCCATCGTCTCAGCCCCAAACCTCCTGAAACTGATAAGCCACTTCAGCAAAGTCTCAGGATACAAAATCAATGTGCAAAAATCACATGCATTCCTATACACCAGTAACAGACTTAAAGAGAGCCAAATCAAGAACAAATTTCCATTCACAATTGCCACAAAGAGAATAAAATACCTAGGAATACAACTAACAAGGAATGTAAAGGACCTCTTCAAGGAGAACTACAAGCCACTGCTCAACGAAATAAGAGAGGACACAAACAGATGGAGAAACATCCCATGTTCATGGTTAGGAAGAATCAATATCGTGAAAATGGCCATACTGCCCAAAGTAATTTACAGATTCAATGCTATCCCCATCAAGCTACCAATGACCTTCTTTGCAGAACTGGAAAAAACCACCTTAAACTTCATATGGAACCAAATGAGAGCCCGCATAGCCAAGTCAATTCTAAGCAAAAAGAACAAAGCGGGAGGCATCACACTACTGGACTTCAAACTATAATACAAGGCTACAGTAATCAAAACAGCATGGTATTGGTACCACAACAGAGATATAGACCAATGGAACAGAACAGAGGTCTCAGAAGCAACACAACATATCTACAACCACCTGATCTTTGACAAACCAGACAAAAACAAGCAATGGGGAAAGGATTCCCTGTTTAATAAATGGTGTTGGGAAAACTGGCTAGCCATGGGCAGAAAGCAGAAACTGGACCCCTTCCTGGCATCTTACACTAAAATTAACTCCAGATGGATCAAAGACTTAAACATAAGACCTAACACCATAAAAATCCTAGAAGAAAACCTAGGCAAAACCATTCAGGACATAGGTGTAGGCAAGGACTTCATGACCAAAACACCAAAAGCATTGACAACAAAAGCCAAAATAGACAAATGGGACCTAATCAAACTCCACAGCTTCTGCACAGCAAAAGAAACAGTCATTAGAGTGAATCGGCAACCAACAGAATGGGAAAAAATTTTTGCAGTTTACCCATCTGACAAAGGGCTGATATCCAGAATTCACAAAGAACTAAAACAGATTTACAAGAAAAAAACTAACAAGCCCATTCAAAATTGGGTGAAGGATATGAACAGATGCTTTACAAAAGAAGACATACATGAGGCCAACAAACATATGAAAAAATGCTCATCATCACTGGTCATCAGAGAAATGCAAATCAAAACCACATTGAGATACCATCTCATGCCAGTTAGAATGGCGATCATTAAAAAATCTGGAGACAACAGATGCTGGAGAGGATGTGGAGAAATAGGAACACTTTTACACTGTTGGTGGGAGTGTAAATTAGTTCAACCATTGTGGAAGACAGTGTGGCGATTCCTCAAGGACCTAGAAATAGAAATTCCATTTGACCCAGCAATCCCATTACTGGGTATATATCCAAAGGATTATAAATCGTTCTACTATAAGGACACATGCACACAAATGTTCATTGCAGCACTGTTTACAATAACAAAGACCTGGAACCAACCCAAATGCCCATTGATGATAGACTGGACAGGGAAAATGTGGCACATATACACCATGGAATATTATGCAGCCATAAAAAATGATGAGTTTGTGCCCTTTGTAGGGACATGGATGAACCTGGAAACCATCATTCTCAGCAAACTGACAGAAGAGCAGGAGATCAAACACCGCATGTTCTCACTAATAGGTGGGTATTGAACAATGAGAACACATGGACACAGGGAGGGGAGCACTACACACTGGGGTCAGTTGGGGGGAAATAGGGGAGGGACAGTGGAGGTGGGGAGTTGAGGAGAGATAGCAAGGGGAGAGATGCTAGATGTAGGTGATGGGGAGGAAGGCAGCAAATCACACTGCCACATGTGTACCTATGCATCAATCTTGCATGTTCTTCACATGTACCCCAAAACCTAAAATGCAATAAAATAAATAAATGGGGGGAAAAAAAAAAGAATGCTTGTGGAGCCGTCTCCTGCTCACTTCCCTGTCTCCCTAGGAGGCAGTCACGGGAAAGTTTCTCACAGCGTCCCAGGCACTGGTGAGGTATGGGGACCTCTGCTCCACCTGCTCCCCGCCTCAGAATGTGGCTGCAGAGTAGAACTCTACTCAGCTAGTGTACACCTGGCTCCTCCGCAGTGGGGGACCCTGCAACTTGCATGGCAATCATCTGGCCCCTTTTGTTTCAGTGTCATCTTTTCTTTTCCTTTTTTTTTCCAGATGGAGTCTTGCTCTTGTTGCCCAGACTGGAGTGCAGGGGTGTGATCTTGGCCCACTGCAACCTCCGCCTCCCAGGTTCAAGCGATCCTCCTGCCTCAGCATCCCGAGTAGCTGAGATTACAGGCACTTGCCACTATGCCCAGCTAATTTTTTTGTATTTTTAGTAGAGACAGGGTTTCACCACATTGGGCGGCTGGTCTCAAACTCCTGACCTCAAGTGATCCACCCACATTGGCCTCCCAAAGTGCTGGGATTACAGGTATGAGCCACTACTCCCTCTTTTTCTTTTTTGAGACAGGGTCTTGATATGTTGGCCAGGCTGGTCTTGAACTCCTGGCCTCAAGTGGACCTCCTACCTCGGCTTCCGAAAATGCTGGGATTGCAAGCATGAGCCACCATGCCCAGCCTCAGTGTCATCTTTTTTGTGTGAGAGACAAGAGCCATGAGTAACGGGCACCTTCAGCATTCTTCCTTCCACTGTCTACATAGAAAATAAACTGCCTGAGTCTAAAAGTGTCCTATCGTGACTTCACTGGTAAAACCAGTCAAGCTTCAGCCTTGGTCTTGCCTTGCCTTGTACGTGCGCGCTTGGCAAAAGGGCCATCCAGGCATTATGGCTCCCCAGCGTGCTGTGCTGTGAAGCACGTGGCGTACTCCCGCCAAACTATGCTCAGCTTCAGCACGTCAGCGTCACACACAAGGGGATTGTGCTGGACTGAAAGGGATTTAAGGGCATAGTCAGATGCAGTGTCAGATCCTTGGTTTGAAACTGGTTTGGATAAACAAGCTGTAAAGGGTATTTTACGGTAAATTGGGGAAATTTGAATATGGCTTGAGTATTAATAAAATAAAATTTTATCTAAATATAAGATTGGAAGCAGGTGGCTTACAAAACTGCATAGCATGATTTTATTTTGGCTTAAAAAATGTGTATAGACAAATATCTCAAAGGGTGTATCAGTCACCAATTGCCACAATAATACTGTGTAACAAAATAAATTTCAGTGGCATGCAATAACAAGCATTTATTTCATGCTCTCTCCTCTGTAGGTTCTCTGGAGTGACCCTGGCTGGCCCTGCCTGGGCTGAAGGCTGAGCCCTGGTTTACTCCCCACGCCTCTCATCCTCCTTGGGCCAACTCCTACCTGAGCCACGTCCTTTTTTTGGTGAGAGGCTAGAGTGCAAATTGGCAAGTCAATCACGTGAGAACACGTCGAACCTCTAATTGTATCCTGTTTGCTAACATCCCGTTGGCCAAAGCAAGTCACACAGCGAGGCGCAAAGTCAAGGGGAGCGTGGTCTCGCCCACCCACCACGAGGCCACGGCATGGGACGGAGAATTGGTGCCAATGTTTTAATCTCCAGACCAAAGTTACAACAGAAATGCTTAAGTGGTAGAAATACGATGTTTTAATTTTTAAAATTTTTGCTTACTGGCATATTTCTAGTTTTCTGTAATAAACATATACTGTGTACTGAAATAATGAAAATGTTAGTTTAAAACTTAAACAAGTAAACAGCTACTTAGAAGTTCCACCTTATTGCTCCAAGCCCTGTACCTCCAATTTCATATCAACTGAGAAGCTTTCACTCCATTTAATTAAACGTACGCACTTCTGGGGAGGCTGCTGTGTTCCAGGCACCGGGGCTGAGTGTAGGGGATTGTGGAAGGGTCGGTAAGGAGACGTCTCTCTCCCCAGGCCACTAGACAAAAGGCCCTGTTTGTCCACATTGAGGGGGTGATGGGAAGGAGGGATGCCAGCCTGGCGGGCCTGTCCCTGGGGCTCGTCTCAGGACCTCCAGGAAGTGCTTCTGAACCGCGGCCCTTGAGCGTGTCTCACATTTGTCCACACGTTGACCGGATCCTTTCAGAATCCACCTTGCGAGGCCGCAGTCTCAGAAGCCACTGCCCATTGCCAGAACGCGGGGAGCAGAGCAGGGAGCCCTGAGCCGGCCTGGGGCTGCCTTTCTTCCCTGGCACACGTCCTGAGGAGGGGAGGGCGTGGGGGCACCTGGCAGAAGCTGTGCCACTGCTGCGCTGGGCCTCTCTCCCCAGAAGCCCTCACGCTTGATTTGCTCGGGCTGTTCCCACTGCCTGGGACCCTGCGTCCCCTACTCTTCCCCTCCCAGCTTGCCTCCAGGCGGGAGAGCCTTCACCGTCCTCCTCACGCCAAACGATCCCCTCCCTTCTCTGTCTCTTCCCCGTCTCCAGCCTTGGTTTCCAGCAGCCTTTGTTCACACGTCCATCCCAGCAGCCATGCTTGGGCTGGGACCCGCAGCCCTCTGTTCACTCATCTCATTAGACAAACACGCCGAGTACCTGCTGTATGCCAGGCTCCGCCCTAAGGCCCTGGGTACCTGCTGTGTGCCAGGCTCTGCTCTAAGGCCCTGGGTACCTGCTGTGTGCCAGGCTCCGCTCTAAGGCCCTGGGTATGCAACTGCAAACACCACGTTCTGGTGGCAGAGGCAGGAAACACAGAGAAATAACTGGGAAATATTAAGCCATGAACGACTCACGCTGGTGCATGTGTCTGTCTCCCCATGACCCACACCCACCTGGGTCTCGTTTCCCGTTCCTGGCACAGGGCTGTGCTTACAGCCTGTGCTTAATCACCATTTGCTGAGTGATCCCGTGAACAGACAGCAATCAGCTGTGGAAGGCTTGTGTGGATGTCATGGCCTGCTGGCCTTAGACTAGTGCCATGGGGTCAGCTCCTTCTGGCTAGCCATTCACTCTCAGAAACAGTCAATGCTTCCCTATGCCCAGGGCTGAAGCCCTGGTTTCCTCAATGACCCTAAAAAACACCCCACACATACCCCAGGAGACAGCCACCTGCCCACTGACCCCTACCAGGACCCCTGCCCTCCTGACAAAATTGAGTGTGCCAAGGCAAGCTTGTCCCCAAGAACTGTAACAACAACAAATATAAATCCCTGAAATGACACTGGGACCTCTCTCCAAGAAGCAAATGTTCAAATCAGCAAGTGTTTACTAAGTGCCCACTGAATGCCAGGCAGATGGAACTCACAGAGCTCCCCTCAAGGAAGCATGGAGGGGGCAGTCAGCAGACACAAGCCTGGAGTATTTCACTCTAGTAAAGATGAGGTCACCGAAGGACAGCTTCCAAGGCCTGTCGAGACTGGGCTGGAGGACTGCGTCTGCTGGACGGCTGAGACCGATCCAGGCACGGAGGGGCAGGGGCGCTTCCAGCAGAGGTGACACTGGGAGCCATGGCAAAGGCAGGGTGCCTGTGGCTGGGGAATAGGCGGCTTAGCTGTCCAGTGTTTCTAAAGAATAAGATGCCCAAAGGACACCCTGCTTTCCCAAGGCAGGACATGAGGGACTTTCTTGAATGATTGCCAAGGTGCGTGACCTCCTCTGTCCTTGGTTCTGCTGGGTACAGTGCTCAGGACAGGGTGAGCTAAGATGCTATCTTTCTCTAATTTAAACTTGAAAAATATTGATTACAGAAGACATACATGTTCATTATGTAACATTTGGAACATGCAACAAAGCATAAGGAAAAAAACAAAAGTCACCAACAGTCTTCTGAAAGAGTTAATAGTGGCTGATATTTCTTGCTGAGGGTAGAGCACCCAGCATTTCACAGATCCCACAAGAACCCTAACAGGCAGGTACTCTTAGCTGCATTTGCTAGATGGGGAAATGGAGGCATGGGAATGATAAACAATTTGCACAGGACCAGTCATCAGCAAATGAGAGCCCACATTTCAGCACAAGCAGCCTGAGTTCCAGAACCCTCTTTCTTCACCATTAGGGCCATTTTGGTTTAAGCAGCAGTTCCAAACTAGCTGTTGAGGAGTCCCAGGCCCTGAAGTAAACTTATGGCGTATTTCAAAGATTTAATAAAACTATAGCAACAGCTATCGGCCACAGATGCACTGCTACTATTAAGTTGTTTGGGTCCAACTACTTAATAAATAAAACTGTTGGGTTTTTATTTGGTGGGGTGGAGGATGGTGAGGGGTGTCTAGGAGCTTCATAGGAATTGCTGAGATGCTAAAGTTGCCATGAGCTGAGAAAGTTTTAGAACCTCCTGCTGATAGTGTTCTATGCAGGTGTATACCACGCTCTTTTTCACTTGCAAAATGAGCTCACAACGTATATGTAATTTTATAACCTGCTTTTTTCCCTTCACAATCTGAGAATGCTTTTGCACGTATTTAAGTAATTTCTTTTTCTTTAGCTAATATTTCATTGTTGGATAGATTTTGTTTTTCAAATTTCTATCCACAACGCGATGTGAACATTTTTGTAAATACAGGCACCATATTGCTCAGCCAAAATGTGTGCATATGTTTAAGACTCTCAATATGTGCCCAAAGTGCTTTCTAGAAAGGTCCTCTCTAACCACATTCTAACCAAGTGCATCAAAATATCAGTTCATCTACTCACCCATCTGTGTATTATCATTTTAAAATGCTTGCCATTTCATAGATTAAAAACAAGTTCTCGTTATTGTTGTGATGTATTTCCTCAGCTGCTAATGAGTTTGGCAATTTTTGTATTTGTTTATTGGTCACTTGCGATTCTATTGTGAATTGCCTATTAACATTCTTTGCTCATTTTTCACTTGGAACGTTCATCTACTTATTTTGATTTGCAAGCCTCCATCCAATTTTAATGAAAAGCTTAAATCCCCAGCGCAGCTGTGAGAAATGCTGATGGCTGCAGTTCTCTGCTGATCTAATTGTTTTAATAAGTTCCACTAAAGACTCAAAGCCTAATGAAAGGTAGAGATCTGATTTGTGGAGCTTAGAAAAGCTATGTAATTAGAAATTTCCTTTCCCAGTCAAAAGCCAACTATCTTTATCGGTTCAACTTCCTACTTTTTTCCCATTTTGAAAAATGTATTTAAATATAAACTACTGGTCTTGGCAGGATGGTAGGGAGGACATTAGAACCATGTCTGGTTGTTACGTAACTCTCGAATTAACTTAGGGTCTTATTTGCTCGTTTGGTTTCATATTTTGTCTTTAAAGTGAAGGCTTCAGATCTCTTTGGTTCATTTCTTCTGCCTTAGTCGCCTCTGGAGCCAGAAGTGAGGCTGTCACCTAGCAACCAGAGCTCTGCTGGTAGAAACAGAAGCCTCGGGCCTGGCCAAGAGAGGAAAATCACCAGTTGAAATAAAAAGTTTTATGTTTGAACTAGAGAGCAGCCAAAGGCACAGCAGCCAGCAGGAGGCAATGGCCAAGGGGTCCTCCCAGAGGAACCCCAGGCTCTTGGAGGCCCAGACGCAGAGCTGGGGAGGGCTGATGGCTTCAGCAGCAACCTTTGGGGGCTTTGCTCCCCATCCAGAGGGGCGATGGCAAGTGGAGTGCTTTCAACTTGGATCCAGAAAAGAGGTTTTAACTCCCCCATTCCACAACTCATGCGCGATCTGATCTCTTCGCTCCCTGGTCGGTCCTGGGGGGGCCACAAGGCTGGAGGCTTCATGCAAGCATTTGGGCAAGCAGCCTGCTCCCTGCGAGTTCAGCTTTAACACCTGAGTCTGAGAAGGAACCTGTAACCCACTCAAGGACTGGGCGTGGTGGCACACACCCCTAATCCCAACTACTCTCGAGGCTGAGAACACAGGTTGCTCAAGGATTGCTTGCTCTCTCAGTCTGGGTAACACAGCGAGACCCCATCTCAAACTAAACTAAACAAAACAAAGACTCCAGAGCCCCCCACGCTGTGAAGCTGGGGGATATTAACTCCTCCGGGATGTTCTGCAGCCATCGTAAGTAGGGAAGCTGGAGTCACTGAGATTCTGAGTGGCCGAAGGACTCTGGCTGGCTAGAGGGACTCCAGTACATCCAGTCCCACTGGCAACACGGCCGTGGTTAGTAGTTGCAGGGTTTTCCTGAAACAGCAGCCCCTTCCTCCACGCTGCCCCCATGGGCCTCCACCTCCTATTTTTCCTTCTCTTTCTCCAGGACATGCCTTGGCCAAGGGAATATTACTGAGCATGATCAGAACACAGGCCTTAAACATTCTTCCGTGGTTTGGCTTGCTCTTCTGCGCTCTGTTAGGAAAAGAAAAGCCCCAGGTAGCCCCTGATCCACGGAGAACGAAAAGACACATTGCAGACCTCAACTCAGCTGTGGCCTGAACTGGAGCCACGCCAGCCAAAATCCAGGCCTGTGACCAAGAAAAATGGCGTGTGTGTTGTTTTGAACCGCGAAGACTTGGGGACTATTTGTTAGGAAGCTTTAGTGCAGCAATGCCTGACTACCCGTTACTCACACTGTTTCCTTCTGCACGTGCTGGCACTTTGGTCACTTGGCCCACTTGGTCAGCTTTTCCTTCAATTCTTCAGGCTTTACTACATTCTTCTAATAAATTCCTCTCTTTGCCAAAGTTACTGGGAATGGATTTCTGTTGCTTGCAACTCAGAATGCTGACTGAGTTCATCTAGCAAATCTCTCCAGAACTGACTACGCCTCCGTCTGAATTCAGAGCCTTCTTCATACAATATGAATGGTTGTTTCCAGCCTTTTCCCCATCTTCTGTTTGTCTTCAGGGAGCCTCTGCCGCATCCAACTGAAACAACTTGTGTCGCAAACAGGTTTCCCTCGTCCCTCCCTGGAGGACTTTGCACTTGCCCTGCCAGCAGCATCCTCTCCATCTTCAACTCTGATGTCCTGGGAACCTTCCGAACATCTGGAAGACTTCCTGATTCTCCCCTGGAACTGCCATCTCCCCTCTCAATCCCGGAGGTAGCTGCCCTAGTCTGGATGGTGCTTATCTTCCTCTGCAGAGCTGGTGCAGTTTATTCCCTTACTAGAGGAGATGAGACCATCACTCAGGGGAGGCGGAGAGAGCCCAGGTCTTCCGCAAGCCTGCTCACCCCCGTTAATCACTTTCCAGTGGCATTTCCTGACGCTTGAATTCAAGGGTCCTGTGCTGTCTTCTTTGTATTCATGTGCCAAACTCAGGGCCTGGAGCAAGGGTGTGTTCTAAAGGGTGATTGGCTATTTGAATGCAGGAATGAACAAATGTCCATCTCTTCTAGAATCTGAGTACACAATAGAGATACATTTCTGGCCAGTTGTGTGGTTCCTTTGATCTGGAGGAAACATAGCCATGATTTTTTCACCTTGTCCGAAGATAAAGTTGGGTCCCGGATACCACCACCAAGACCTGGGGTCAACCACAGACCAAACATCATTGAAAAACATCCAAACGAACGAAGCGCCCAACACTTAAAACTCACCCAGTTCTTCATGTTACAGTTGATGGGACCACACTGGCTCATGCGTGTAGACTCAGCACATGTGTCCATGACACTGAGGTTATGCTTGTAGCCTTCAGCACACGTGATCCATGATGGCTTACGCTTGCAGACTCGGTGCATGCAGTCCATGAAACTGAGGTTCAGTGTAGGGAAGTGAGAAGCTGAAACCCAATAAAGGGAGGGATGGGAACTGGACTCCGGACCTCCAGACGGTCAGTTTTCTATTTCTTACAAGAAGTAGACGGTTCCATGGCAAAGCAGACTAGAGAACCTCCAAGCTGGATTTTTCCATTGGGTCTTCCTACACAGCCTGTTAACAGGGAGGGCATCACTGTTCCTGTGCCAGCCTCCACAGTCACAAAGGCTGCTGTTCTGTGGCCAGGAGGATTCTTAAAATAACAGTGCTGCCTGCCTCTGCGGGCTGGAGCCAGCTGTCTCAGCACAGTTGGTTCCTGAACTACAGCTTCCTGCTTACGGTGATGACTGGTGTCGCCGTAACTGGTCAGCCATGTCCATTTCTGTCCTGGTAACCAGGGCTTGGTCAGGCTGGGGAGAGACCCAGAGTGAAAAGAATCAAGTGAGCATCATGTGATAGGACAGGAAAGACTTTTGGAACCAGGAAGATTTGAATTCAGGTCCTAACTCTGCCCCGCGCTGCCCTGTGGCCTCCGTTTTCTCATTTGCCGAGTGGCAGTGATACTGCACCCACCTCAGACAGCAGATGTGCCTGGCATATCGCGATGGCTTGTGAATACTGTCTTACTGCATAAGGTAAGGAAGAGGGCTGCCAGAGGCAGAACCTGAGACGAGGAGTTGATTTGGAGGTGATTGTAGGAGACACCCGCATGAGAGTGGGGAAGTGAGTTGCAGAAAGGAAGACAGTGACACAGGGGTTTAATGCCCAGGTCACCCCTGACAGCAGTGAGAGTTCAGTCCCATCGGCACCTTTCAGAGTCAGGGCGCAGCACGCCTCAGCCTTGTCCCCCAGCAAAGGGTGAGGAGGTTGAGGGATTTATCCATCCGACCCCCACCCACCGCTGTTCAGGGCTGCTGGGGAGTGGGGCTTAACGCCCAGCACAGCTTGCTTTTTGCAGCAGCTTAATGGCCTTAAGAAGCCTGAGAAAGTCTGCTTCCGGCAGCGAGTTGCAGCTGCTGGGAACTGACATGTGAGGTCCGTGAGCAGGTCAGTATGGGCACCCACAGCATGTATTACAAGGGTTCAAAGCTCATCAGGAGAAGCCAGGGCTGTCATATTAGGTTTGGACGGGGCTAGAATTAGGCTGCAAGGTTGGGTGCAGTGGCTCACGCCTGTAATCCCAGCACTTTAGGAGGCTGAGGAGGGCAGATCCCAAGAGTTTGAGACCAACCTGGTCAACATGGTGAGACCTCATCTCTACAAAAATAAAAAAAATAAAATAAATAAAAATTAGCCAGGCATAGTGGTGGATACCTGTAGTCCCAGCTACTCGGGAGTCTGAGGCAGAAAAATCGCTTGAACCCCAGAGGCGGAGGTTGCAGTGAGCTGAGATTGCACCACTGCACACTCCAGCCTGGGCAACAAGTGAAACTCTGTCGCAAAAGTAAAAATAACTAGGATGCAAAACCTAAAAGCCTGGAGCTGGTGCAGGCAGCCTGGGGAGGTGGGAAGTGAGTCGGGAATGAGGTGAGGGTCCTGGACATTTGTCATCAGCTGTCCTGGAAACCCCAAACCCTATATTCCTGGGTGCTGGCCATATTTGTAACAGATCTGCTTTCTCTCTATTGGGATGATCTAGGGTGACATGGGACTGTGTTGAGAGACCTCCTTACTGTTTCCAAAACACAAGGGTCACTATTTCACACACATACCCTTGCCGAGCACTTAGTACAAGCTGTTCAGCTTCAGCCCTAGCATGGGACAGGGGAACGTGTACACGTGTGTGTGCAGGTCCTGGGAGGGGAGGCTTGAGGACGACCACTCTTCCCATCACCCGCAATGACCGCAGATTGGGCTACGTGGAAGAGCACACTATGGGGGGCGACCAGGAAGGGATGGAGGATGGAATTAAGAAGCCCTGTGCCTGAGACAGCGGCTGAATTCTGCGGGAATCCTCCCAAAGCACACCCTCCCTCAAAGGTCAGTAAACAGAAGTTTTTTGAGATGCCTTAAACTGTTAAAGTCCAGCGTCAGAAATTCCCGCTGGGTTTGAATTTGAATGGATTACTTGAGTTCCCTGAATGCTTTGCAGATAGAAATACAAATATATATATATATATGCGCTAGGCTTTGTGAGTTCTAAATGTAAATATAACACCATGAAATGAAAAAGTAACCCCAAAGTGCCTCGTTATTGTCATGGAAAAATCACCCAGGAAAAGAACTTTCAGAAGCCGAGTTCGTAGTGGAGCGTTCCTTGAAGTTCATAAATGTAGTGATGATAGTTGTCGTTATTACACAGTGAGAATTCTCATTCTTGCCATTTTAGCGAGTGCCATTTTTCGAGAACCTTTCGTCTGCTCCTTATCTTGCTTTTCATATCTAGCTTCTTGCATTGAAAGCATCACGAATTCTGATGTGAGGAAACAAAGGCGCTGAGAGGTTAAGCAATTTGCTGTGGGTTGCAGAGCGGATCAGTGGCTGAGCTGGGATTCAGCAACAGATTTTTCTGGTTCCAAAACCTGTTCTTTAAATTATTCACTCCAAGTGCTGGGTAGCACAGTTGAAATGATTTCCTTTTCGTGGTACAATGTGATTCTTGTAAGTACTTGTTGACCTCTTCATCTATTCTTCACTGGAGTCAGAATTTTCATCCCCCACAGCACCACGTGAAACCTGTACTTTTCACTCCACTTTGGGATTAGGGACAGTTTCATGCCAACCCACTGTCAAGGTTACCGATCTCCAGGGCCAGTATGTAACTTTGCTTAGAATGGCCCACATGGTGTTTAAAATTAATTTGAAGTCACACTTATGATGTGGAGATTTAATATAAAAATCAGGATTTCTGGCTGTTTTTGAAAAATCCACAGAACCAACAACACTGATACGCCCCGCCTTCAGCTCACCACTGTCCCCACCTGTCGTTTCTGTGTCCTTGCCACTGTGCCAAGTGACAGGAGTGACAGAGCACCACATCTTGCGTTGCGTATTTTCTTAGAATTCCTTGGGTTTTTCTAATGACTCCTCAATTATTTTCTCTCCTTTCTGGACTTCGCAGTAATTGACTTATTTTTTGTTTTTTGTTTTTCTGAGGCAGGGTCTCTGCTGCCCAGGCTGGAGCACAGTGGCACAGTCACAGCCCACTGAAGCTTCAAGCCACCCCTCCACCTCAGCTCCCCTGAGAAGCTGGGACTCAAGGCGTGCGCCACCACGCCTGGCTAACTCTGTATTTTTAGTAGAGACCGAGTTTCACCACGTTGCCCAGTCTGGTCTCGAACTCCTGGGCTCAAGCGATTCTCCCACCTCAGCCTCCCACAGTGCTGGGATTACAGTGCGAGGCACTGTGCCTGCCCTAGTATTTGACTTTTTGGTGCCTAAAAGTCAAGGATCCCCCCACCCCACAAGCAGTTCTTCAGATATACCAAGAGCCATTCTGAGCTCTATCCTGCCTTCTCTCCCGCGCTCTTATCCTGCTGCATGGCACGAAGACACCAGCTCGGCCCAGACAGACCTTTTCAGAACCGTCAATCCAACACTTGTTACTGTGGCTTCCTGCCACTTCCTCAGCCTCTCTAGCTTCTGCTTTCCCTATTTGGAAAGTAAGTCCTAGTTATTCACCTAAAGACAGTTAAAAGCCAAAAACCAAATGGCTAAGTTTGGCCAACACACTGAGAGCCATCGGGCCAAATGAGCAAGCCACCAAATCATCTGATTTTTTTTTTTTTTTGAGAAGGAGTCTCACTCTGTTGCCAGGGCCGAAGTGCAGTGGTGCAATCTCGGCTCACCAAAACCTCCACCTCCCGGGTTCAAGTGATTCTCCTGCCTCAGCCTCCTGAGTAGCGGGGATTACAGGGGCACACCACTATGCCCAGCTAATTTTTGTGTTTTTAATAGAGACGGGGTTTCACCATGTTGGGCAGGCTGGTCTCAAACTCCTGACCTCATGGTTTGCCTGCCTTGGCCTCCCAAAGTGCTGGAATTACAGGCGTGTACCACCGCATATGGCCTCATCTGATTCTTTTCAGTGCTCTGTTTTCATTAGCCAGCTTTCATCTCATCTACATAATAGGATTTTATTAAATATGCAGCTTGTGTCTGCCCTAGCGCTCTGCTCTTCGGCTGAAGACTGAAGTCCCAGAGAGAGGGAAGAGCCGGAAAGACAGGGCTGGAGAGAGGCCAGCTGGGGGCTGAGGAGAACACACTCATGAGAATATGCGCCGTAACAGGAATAAGAAAGCATGAGGAATACGCTCATCAGATTCCTTATTAAAGAATATATTATGCTTCTCTCCAGCCCTCTGACTGCCCCTCTTTATCTTCAGGCTCCAGCAGCAGCAGGAAGTGGGAGCGGGGACACTGGATGTCTTTTAGATGTTGTTATGAAGATGGAATGACTTCAGCCCATTGGGAAACATACTAGTACTTTCCTCATAGGACTGGGGGAGGATGACAGGAGCTAACGCTCCTGAGCCGTGTAGTGGGAGCACCCCGCAGCAGTGACTCCTGTTCCAACACTACTCAGAACGGTGCCACCTGCCACCCAAGCCCACCATCCTCCCTACCCTCATGGGCCATCAAGATTCTACCCACAGGAGGGTGACTAAAAGAGACCCCTCAAGGTTGTGGAAAGGAAGGAATTCAGGATGTCCTGTGAGTTGAGCCATAAAATCAGCTCATGAAGGAATGTGCAGACGTGCAGAGGCCCAGGAACAAACTCCAGGCCTGCAGCGGAATCTGCCCTGCGCAGGGAGAACGGGTCCGTCGATGGAGGCCTTGGTTGACCGTGGAGGCCTGCAGGAGGGAAGCAGGGGCTGCACGCTGGTGGTGCCTGCCCCCCTCCACCCTGGGAGGCCTGGGGCCGCTACCGCGTCACGTTCCATCAACACCCCGGCACTGCCAGTTCCTGGGCACCAAGCCACTGCGAGATAACTCGGCTTCCCAGGACTAATGCCCCCAGGGAGAGCACGTGGTCATCTGGCTGATGTGAACTCCAGACTGCTTGGAATTCGTCCATTTTCTTTCCGGTTTATTCTCAGGTCCGTCATTGGTTGTTTATTCAAGCACCCAGGACTTGTGGAACTTAACAGATTGAATTTCTGAGCTTACATGGCTGAGGGCCAGACCCCAACGAGTGACTCCTTCTCCAAGGTCAGAGTCCTCTGGTTGGGCTCCGTGTGTATGAGCAGCACCTGGCCCTGGGGTAGGTGTGAACACTTCCCATTGGTGGCCTCAGCCACCTCCACAAGGTGCCTGCCCTGGACAAAAGGTAGGAAGCCATTCTGCCGTCCTGCTGCGAAAGAGAACCCGGCTTCAAGCTCCCTCTAGGCACCAGCTAGCTTTGTTCTTGATCAGGCCTTACGGCCTCGTCTGATAATGTTGGTGAGGAAAGGGGGAAGTTTCTTCCTATATTAGTTTTAAAATGTAATTGAAGATGGTTCTGTTGCCTAGACAATGGCATATTAAATTCGGCAAAAGCAAGGATTTATTAAAGATTGTCCCTGATCTATAGAACAAGGGAATGTAATCAATCTCCCAGAATTTTTAGCTGCGCTTACTACACATCATGCCCTAAAATTGTGTTAGTCATGAAAATGAGGTGGGGCGGAGGGCTGCAGGGTCCTGAAGCAGCGGGACAGGACTCTGGAACAGCCTGGCCTCTTGGTGACAAGGGAGTCTCCTGAGCATGAGTCCAGGAGAAGTGTGGGAAGAGGGAAGAGGGTGTGTGCTGAGCTTCATCTGTCCAGGAACTGGGCTAGCAGCCTTGACTGTGTGATCCCTTTTAACCCTCACTGTCTGCCCATGAAGTAGAACATTTTCTGGGTTTTAAAAATCTCCATTATAATACGTTTCCTTGGCTGGCAAAGGAGAGAAGCCAATTCCAGCAGGCTTGAAAATCAGCTGTCCCCAAGCAGCTCTTTGGGTGTCCAGGTGCGATTCTGAGTTTCATCCCATTCTCCGTGTGTGTAGACATACTCGGCAAATACCATGTTCCGCAGAGTGAAAGGGGAAAACACAAAATCCTAGGTATGAAGTGGGTTATACCGTCTAGGTTTGTGTGAGTGCCCATGTTGGGCAGGCCTGTCTCGAACTCCTGACGTCAGGTGTCTGCCCGTCTGGGCCTCCCAAAGTCCTGGGATTACAAGCGTGAGCCACTGTACCTGGCCTAGAATTGAGATTTTTAAGGTGGTGGAGTTACTAGCAAAGGCAAGGCTGAGAGGGTGAAGTGAGGTGGAAGACAAGATCTTTGCAGGTGGGAACCTCAGGGAACCAAGATGCCAGGTGCTGGGGACTTGCTAAATACATACTGAAGCCACCAAGAAGGATGGCTGCAGTCGTGCTGGGAAAACAGTGATTTGGGAGCCAAAATCTTCAGTGAATGAGGGGCAGGAACAGGAGAATGCAGGAGGAACACTTGCTTCAAAGGAGAACGTTAGGGAGGGAGGAGGGAGCGGCAGTGGGGAGTAGAGGCTGCCTGGCTCACCTCTAGCTCAGAAGCACGCAGGGTTTAAAACTCAAAGCAAAACGAGCCACCACTTAGGGACAATCATGGAAAGCAGTTCCTGGGGATGAGAGAGATACAATCTTCTTACTCCAGTAAGGCACTGGGACAGGCTTCACTGCAGGATACGCACAGCACCAGACCCAGACACACACACACATGCGTGCGCGCGCACACACACGCACGCACACACACAAGCACACACGCACACACACACACACGCGCGCACACAGGGAAGCATGCACACGCTGACGCGCACACACACACCCTCCACCCCAGGCCCTCCTGTTGGCAGATCTGCAGCAGTGTCTTCACTCATAAAGTCAGCACGGTGCTGGGAAGCAGGGAAGGGACCCCAGAAGTCAGAAGACCCCCACAGCCTCACTGCCGCCCCTCATCACCACCACAGTGCAGCCAGCGCAGCCAGGGTGCTCACTGCAGTTGCAGGTAGGAAGAATGAGGCTCAAGGAATTAACTGGCTCCATGAAAAGCAGCCAAGCCAGGAACGATCCCTGTGACTTCCGACATTTTTCCAACACTGTACTCTTTGTACTGGCCAATGTCTCCCAAGTTTCCCAAAGATCAGAGTTATCTGGAGAAGCTTTGAAAACACAGATTCCCTGGACCACATCTCTGGAAATACGGATTCAGTAGGTCTGGCACATGGCCCAGGAATCAGCATTTTAACAGCCACCCCAGGGGATTTTTTTTTTTTTTTTTAAGAAACAGAATCTTGCTCTGTCACTCAGGCTGGAGTACAGCAGTGTGATCTCAGCTCACTGCAACCTCCACCTCCTGAGTTCAAGCGATTCTCATGCTTCAGCCTCCCAGGCAGATGGGACTACAGGCGTCCACCACCATACCTAACTAATTTTTTGTATTTTTAATAGAGATCTGGTTTACCCATGTTGGCCAGGCTGGCCTCAAACTCCTGGCCCTAGGTGATCCGCCCACTTCAGCCTCCCAAAGTCCTGGGATTACAGGTGTGGCCACAATGCCCCAACCACCCAAGGCGATTTTTACTATGCCAGAAGCTTAGAAATGCTGCAGATTCCCACCCTGTCTTCTCCATTTATTTCGTGCAATTGAGAAAATTCCCTCAATTTCCCAGGCCGTGGACCGGGCACCAATCCGATGACATTTTCCTGCACTAATTGCCTAATACCTCTTAAGTACGACATTTTAATTAAAGAGCTAGGGAGATCCAATTTTCCAGCTAATGAATGGAGTAGAAAATTAATAACAATATCATGCCAGGGTTTGAAAGGGAGCTCTGTGCGCGGACACAGGTTTTGAGGAGACTCCAATCCCATCTTCCTCACTTACCAGACTAAAGCCAAATTAGTTAGCTCTAAGCCTCAGTTTCACCATCTGTAATATGGGTATGATTCATAACTACCTTAAGAGGATTTGTAAAGCTTGGAAATATTGTCTGCAAAGGCCTGTGTCATATTTACACAGTTGGAGTTAATATGATAGCTGCCGGCAACAGAAGTAATAAGAACAAGAGCTGCTGTTATTCAGATCTCCCAACCCAGCTTGGATCCTTCTGTGGACCAGACAAGGGGATCTGCCCCCAGAATGAGTGCTTACTGTAACACCCACTATCAGTGGGCGTGGCAGCCCGAGAGGCTGTTCCGATCAATACACTAACATTTGCTTTGCCCTCATGCCTCACGCCCATGTTGACACAGGTGGCCATTAGAGGATGATGAGCCCAGCAGAAGCAATGGGCTGGAAGGAGGCGGCAGCACGCTGGATTTGGCACTCGAGGAGACAGTGTTTTCATCAATTGCAGGTGATTAATTCTGGGGTGGGGTTGGGTTGAGGTTATGTGCGTTATCGCTCCTGGACCCACCCTCGGAAACTGTGCGGGGTTCCCAGCTCAATAAAAAGCTGATCAAAGCTTCACATTGATCTCAGCTACAAGTGCTACTGTCTGTAATTTTACTGCATGATTCACGCTGTGTGGTTGGGGAATACAGAATACCTTCTTCTCTAGAGAGGAGGAAAGCCACGCAGAACCGTTTGATTAAGCTCAACGATTGTTACTGAATTTGAGTAAAAGTTCTGTCTCTGAAATTCTGACTTCCACCATTTCTTCCATCTGAAAGTGACCGAGGTGAAGACGAAAAGAAGAGCTGAATTGATTTGGATCCTGCCTGCCTTTCACGTGGCCACGCTTCGCCTAACTTCTTCCGTTTTCTCTGAATTACAAAGAGTAACAGTAAAGAGTTACATACTCATAGTTTGTCTGTATAATGGAAAGCTGTGCAGTTGTTAAAAATGGCACTAGGATCCCTGTCACAGACCTGAAACATTAGATCATAAAATATCCAGTGAAAAAAGTCAGATACAAAACTGTATGTTTAGTAGTCCATGTCTGTAAGGGGAAAAATGTGCATGCACACGTGCACAGGGACACTCACACGCACACACATGCACGCACGCATGTGCACACGTGCGCACACAATGCACGTGCACACACATGCACACACGTGTATGCACCCGCACCACAAACACACATGTGTGCATGCACACACACGTGCACACACACACACACACAAAGTAGTGAGGTATACACACAAAAAGTTTAACACTGACCATCCCTAAATCAGGGTTCCCCACTTTAGCTACAAGACAACGATGGACACTTCTGTTTCCAGCGGGGGGACATTCTTAATGACTGCTTATGCTGCCCAGGTTTTCTTCATTAAATATATGTTGTTTGTGTAATTTTTAAAATGTAAGAAATAAAAGAGGGCAGCCCCAAACAGGCACTTCAGCACCCTTTGTAATACTTTTTAAGATGGCAATATCTAAAGATCTAACAGGCTGGGCTTGGTGGCTCACACCCGCAATCCCAACACTTTGGGAGGCTGAGGTGGGTGGATCACTTGAAGTCAGGAGTTCAAGACCATCCTGGCCAACATGGTGAAACCCTGTCTTTACTAAAAATACAAAAATTAGCCAGGCAGTGTTGGCACGTGCCTGTAGTCCCAACTAATCAGAAGGCAGAGGCAGGAGAATCACTTGAACCTCAGGGGCAGAAGTTGCAGTGAGCTGAGATCACATCATTGCACTCTGGGCAACAGAGCAAGACTCCATCTCAAAAAAAAAAAAAAAAAAAAAGTCTAACAGTAGAGCAAAAGTTAAATTAAATATGGTATGTCATATACCGGAATATTCACTGGCACTAAGATTTCACTCTGAAGAATCTGCAATACCATGGTGAAACACCTGTGACCGACAGGCAGTCTCCCTCCACACCATCTAGCTCTTTTCTTCCTGTACTAGGACCGAAAGGGGAAGAACTATGTTCTCCAGCGCCCATGATGCTGTGGGTCCCACAGGTGACCCGACCTGCCGAGCAGACACCTGTGCTTCTGCGGCTGCTACCAGGTCTCAAGCAGATGTGTGCAGAAAGCCCAGGCTGACAGCTGTGTTCCCATTCCGTGAAAGACCTTGTAAGCTGTTAAACTTCTAAAAGAAACCCTTGCTGCTTAGACATGAAATAGATGCAGGGGAAAGTGTCCCACCTTATTTGTTTGCTTTCTTTCTGAAAAGCCAGATGCTAAACTCTCTAATTACAGCATTACCATGGCATTTTTGAAACAGAATAAAAACCTTATACAGAGAAAAATGCAATCAAAATGTAACAGCAATTGTCTGAGTACTGAGATTACAGGAAAACTTTTCTCCTTTTTAACATTTCTGTATTTTCCTGAATTTCTCTAATGCAAATCTATCTATTCATAATTTTTAGAGACTTTCTATAAGAAGTGAGCAGCTGTCACTGGATTCCCTCCATAGATGTGCAAAGAGGATTCTGTGGGCTCCTCCCGCCCCGTGTGCCCGATGTGCACCTGCCTAGGCTGGAGGCCCTGCTCTGCCAGCCTCTCTTCCCCTCTTCTTTCCTCTTTGCTTCCACTGAACATGTCCCTGCTTTTCCTGTTTAGTGCTGACATTCATGAACACATCTTGTTTTTCAGATAATTTCCTTCCTTCAATCCCTCCATCTGAGATTAAATAACAATAAATCACAATAATAGTAAATAATGATGATTATAGGAATAATCATAATAAAAGCAGAGACCTTGGCCCCAGTTGAGACTGAGTTTGGTTTATTCTGCATCCTGCATCCCCGGATGAAGCAAACTTTTGTCCTTTTCCATCTGGAGCTGCCGAGTGGCGAGACCATCAGCAGCGCTGACTGAAGCAGCAAGCAGAGAAGCACCTTCCTTCACAAGATGCAACCGGGGGTGCTGCGGGGGCCACGCAGGCGGCCACAGCCTGCAACCGTCCAGCCACCGCGCCAGAGTGTCAGAGTACTGGCAGTACCGGGACCAGCTGGGCCTGCGGAGAGAAGTGAACAGGGCGGGCTCCTCAAGGTCAGCACTCAGGGTCTCCGGGGCTTCACGGCCTCACTCAGGCCATTTGCACCTGCCCAGCCTGTGGAGCCTTTGAGTTTCCCACCCCTGCTGTGGGCACGATTCTGAAGGCTTTTGTGCATCTCCAGTCCCGTCTCCATCATATCCTAGCATGAATGCTGGCGCTTCCTCCATCCTAGTGCCCACATCAGCCCACACCTCATTCCCTAAACTCCACATGGTGAGATGAGGAGGTTGAACCGTGAACCAGGAAATCCTCCCACAACGCTGCTAGGGAAGTATCATCTGCTTCTCTGAAGTGAGCTTCACAGAAGTTCCGTGACTTTCCCGGAGTCACATGATGAGTCTTTGGCAGACCCTGGGCCTTTGTCCCCTGGGCCAGGGGTCCTTTCACCTTTCCATGTATCCACTTCACTCTTCAGCTTCCAAATTCCTCATAGCTCTTTAGCCCACCTAAGTCAGCTGCACTGTTTCTCTAGCCTGTTCTCAAGGTGCCTGCAAAAGTGATTCCCTTGTTCTGGGTCCCCATGCCAACACCCAGACTTCAGGTTCTCCAGTCCCTATCCCCAGAGTGGGGCGCCACCCAGGCCAGCTGTAAGCCATTAGAGATCCTGTTTGATCATCCCATCTCTCAGGCAGGTCTCCATGGGTCTTCCAGGGTCAGAGGTCCCACAGTAGAAGGCAGGGCTGTGGACCGCTGGCCCCTCGTAGCTACAGAGTGGCAGGGAAACCCCAAGGCTTTGCACAGCCCCCGGCAGACACTGCAGGAGGGACTCCGTGAGGACACGTGGGGTCTTGGTCTCCTCCCTTCCTGTCTTTCCCAACCCCACAGAGCTGGCCAACTGAGCTTTGGGGAACACGTGACTGCCTGTTAGCTTAGGAAGAGCTCACTTCACTGGGAACCTGAGCAAGTGAGAAGGCCTCGATCTGCCTGGCTTAGCTCTACTTAGTGCTGTACAGTAAAGATGATTTAGTTCATTAGGGCTTCCTCTGGAGAATCAGCCAAGCTTCCACATTAACTGGAAACTCAGACCATATATGAAAGGCATTTTGAACACTCCAAAGACAATTACCATTAATACAGGGACTTTCACTTTAAAACTGCAATCTATTAAATTAGTGGTGAAAATGGGTTAATGAGTAAGTAGCATTGAAATAAATGACTGGCCACGTAAAAAATATAAACCTGGGTCCCTGCACCTCACTCTTTATGCCAAAATAAAATCCAAGGAGGCCAAAATTTTAAGCATTAAAACCATAAAATCATATTCTGTTTTCAACTGATTTGACAAAAAACAGAGGGCTTCATTTGTGCGTGTGTCAGCACTGCCGTAGCACGATTCTGGAGCACAAAAGGCCTTCCTAAGGAAGAGATTTCACGTAAATCCAGAAGCCGCAAAAGAAAACCAAGGGATTTGAGTCTGTGAACCTGTGAAACTCTTGCAGGATAGAAATACCACAAAATCAAAATACAAATAGCAAACCTAAAAAAAATAGTTCAGACAAATAAAATGAATAAAGGCCTAATAAGCCTAATTTATGAAGGACACATGAAATACCCACATGAAGAAAAAGCCATGACCAGCCCAATAAAAAATGGACTAAGAATATAAGTAAACAGTTCACAGAAAAACAGCCAATAAACACTTGAAAACATGTTCGACTTTCTTTGTAATTTAAACACGCAAAGCAAAACAGAATGGTATTATTTTATACACCTCAGTTTCCCAAGACTACACAGGATTTTAACACCCCAGGCTGGTGAGCTGAGGGGAAACAGGCCCCTTCGTCCGGTGTGTGGAGGGGCCTCTTCTCCAAATGGCAACTTAGCGACTGGTCCCTCCAACATCTAAATGAACCAAACAGTCTCAAAAAACCCCTATTCAGGGACTTCTCTAAGGACACAATGGAAAGAACATAAAAGTTCTAAAAGCAAGATGCTTACGACAGAATTTTGAAACAGCAACAGCAGCCACAAAAATGGAACGAACTAAATTTTCATCATTAGAGAACTGGCAGATGAATTACCTGCGACCTCTACAGTGCGGGGCAGTAGAGAACTGGCAGATGAATTACCTGCGACCTCTACAGAGCGGGGCAGTAGAGAACTGGCAGATGAATTACCTGCGACCTCTACAGAGCGGGGCAGTAGAGAACTGGCAGATGAATTGCCTGCGACCTCTACAGAGCGGGGCAGTAGAGAACTGGCAGATGAATTGCCTGCGACCTCTACAGTGCGGGGCAGTAGCGGCTGTTACAGCGACGGCAGAGACCTTTCAGTGGTGACGATGCCAAGATTCATGAGTCTATTAATAAGTGAAAAAAGCACAGTGCAGCTCAGTGTGGACGCTGGGATTCCACGTGTGTTTAAAAATATCTGCAGTCTGTGTGCACATTGCTCTCTGATTTCTGAGAATATTAACCAGAGGAGACCTTGAGGAGGCTGCTGATAAGAGGGAAAAGGATTCTTTTTCTTTTTTTTTTTTTTATTTTTTTCGAGACAGAGTCTCGCTCTGTTGCCCAGGCTGGAGTGCAGTGGCGTGATCTCAGCTCACTGCAATCTCCACCTCCTGGGTTCAAGGATTCTCCCCCTCAGCCTCCCAAGTAGTTGGGACTACAGGTGCATGCCACCTTAAAGAAAATAAATTTAAAAAGAAAAATGAATGGTTTCTGGGTAGTGGGTCGTGGCCCCAAATGCAGCCTCAGTTTTTAACAAGCGCTCAGGGGCATCCATTATGTGCCAGGTGCAGAGCTGAGGCTAGCGAGATGAGGCGGGAAAACAATCTCTGACTGAATTGATTAGGTTGGCGCAAAAGTCGTTTGCCATTATTCTTAACGGCAAAAAGCACGATGACGTTTGCAAAAAAAACTAACAGTTCCAAAGTACCTTGAAGACACAGAAAAAACAAAACAAAAAAGGCAACAACAAAAAGTCTTGGCCTCTGAGACAGACGCACCCTCTGGGCCAGATCCTGGACAGTCTCTGCTGCCCACGGGGCCCATGATTTAGAGTCAGGAACACCACCTACGCTTCCACGAGTGAAATCTGTCCACCTGCAGGCCCGCCCTTTCCTCCCCCACCACCCCACACTGACTCTGCTCAGAAACTCTGAGGGTGGACTCGCTGGAGTACTGGACAACTGCCTTCGGTTGCCTTCGACATGGCTAGAGCATAGATGTTCTGTGTCACCCAACCCCATCTCTCTGAGTAGCCTGGAGTGACCTGCAGCTTGGAATAGCTCACACTGCTGTGGCCATGAGTAAGTTATTCTATTTCTCTATGCCTTGGTTTTCTCATTTTCAAAATGAAGCTAAGCATGCTCACTGCAGAGGGGCTTGTGAGGATTCGCTGATGCTGTGCATATAAATGCAATCAGTCAAGAAATTGCAGCCCTTATAGGATTTCCTCTATTGTAAGATATCTTCTGAGATTCGTCAATGATTTATTAACAACTTTGAGGGGATAATACATTGATTACAAAACAAAGCCTAATTTCAGAAATATTAAGATCTGAAAAACTGTGCCATCTGGAACTTAGGAAATATGACACTGTTTCTAGATCTAGCCAGAGATTATAGTGTCCAGAATCTACCAGGCAGGAAATTGCAAAATGTGGGTCAGAGGGAGAAAAGGTAGGGAAGAAGGAAGCTCGCGGTGGTGCAGGGTTCACTGGGTGGTGTAGGGCTGTCACCATAAACAGCGCGGACAGAGACGGCAGCAGCGTGTGCTGGAAATGGAAGGTTTTTATGCATTAATCTACCCCCGGATGAACGTCGGAGAAAAGAGTCTGTCCATAACCCAAGTAACAGTGAACAGAGACAAGAAAAAGTCACACAGCCTTTCTATTCAGCAAATACTGAACACGGGTGACTCTGTCCTTATTCTAGGAAAGGTAAAGAGGGTGCTAACATGGCACCTACGAGGGAATGTCACAAAAAGAAAAGGAGGCATCATAATAAAATTTCTCTTTTGTTGTTGTTAGACTAGCATGTATTGAAAAAAGCAACATTAACAGAGCACATAGCTTTCAAAAAAGACTAAAGACTAACAAATACAAGTCCATGCCCATATTTTAAACTAGTGTAATTTTTTCTACATTGAATAAATGTTGTTTTGTATGCTGGACATTGCAGTGTTGTTTATTTCCACCTCATCGTGCAAATGCGCCAATTTTGTCATTAAGAAGCCTTTTTTAGGTTATGTTCACTTTGACCCTCCTACCAAATTAAGGGGGAAAAAACAAAACACAAAAATAAGAAATCCCAGTAAAAGATCCCCTCAGATTTCATAAACTACAAGCTAAAGCTGCTAGTCAATAAAGAAATGGAAGAATTTTCAGAATTGTATAATACAAAAATTCCTGTAATTTAGGCAGATGTTTTCCTTACCGACGACAAATCTTACAACACAATGTGAAGTTACGCTCCTCAGATATTTGTAGCAAAACCGTTTTTTTGTACAAAAACAAAAGCAAGGGACCGTGAAGAAAACAGCATATGTTCCTCACTGCCTGTGAGCATACAAATCTTTTAGCAATTTACAAGGGTAACTATGAGAGCCTCACATTCTTCCGTACCCCACGTAGTCCGCCTCTCCGTTTGTAGGATTTGTAAACCAAAGTCACATCTCACTAGCAGAGGTCTTATCTAACTCCCGCTCTCTCCAACTAACCCTAATAATTTTCTCTCATTTTCCTGAGCATCCTCCAGGAACAGCATTGCAAGTGGGTTGTAAAAATAGAAGAGGAAAAAAGAAAGGAAGTTTTACAAGGGTGTTGTTGGTTAATTACCACCAGTAGTGTGGTTTCGTTGGTAGCAGGTGGTTCGTGTTGAACGGCCCCCGGGAGCTTGGTGAGCAGCTCTCCCTCTGTGCTTTCAGGGTGGCTGTCAACGGAGCTGGGACTTACACTCACGTTGTCAACAGCAGTGCTGCCTGGGAGACGCAGCTCTGGCTCATTATTCTCGCTGCCGTGGACACCATGGAGAGTAGGGACATACACGGGTGAGCCGGCCCGAGGGTAGAAGGAGGCGGCTGGTCTGCTATGATAACTGCCTACATCGACATGACGAGCCTTATCCAAGGTGATGAAACCTACATTTGCACTGGCCTCACAGACACAGAAGGAGCCGTCATCTTTCATCAGCAGGTCAACACCACACACATCCAACCCTGGCGCTAGACACCTGCCTAGCTGGCTGCCTCTCTTTCCACTCAGAGAGCACCACTTACTCAGCAGCTGCTTTGCAGTCTCTCATCTGCTGAACAACGTAACAAGGTGCCAACCTCACACCCCCCGCCCGTCCATGAGACTCCTCAGTGCACGTCTGGAACAGGTATGGCGCTTCATGGTGAATAAGATGGCGCAGATCAGCTACTCAGGAGGCTGAGGCAGGAGGATCACTTGAGCCCAGGAGTTCCAGGCTACAGTGAGCTGTGATCGCGCCACTGCACTCCAGCCAGAGTGACACAGCAACACCCCGTTTCTTTTTCTTATTTTTTTGAGATGTCTCTTTAAACAAAAGATAAAAAGGCAACCCACAGAATGAAAGATAGTTGTAATACATATACACAACAAAAAAACTTTATCCAGAATATATAAATATCTCCTACAGATTAATAAGAAAAAGACAGCACAATAGAAAAATTGACAAAAGATTTGAAGAGGCGCTTCACCCAAGGGCATATACAAATGGCCAATAAACACTTGAACCTCATCAGGGAAATGCAAAGTAAACCCTAATGCAGGACCACAACACAGTCACGAGAACACACTGGAAGTCACCAAGCGTGGTTGAGAACCTGAACCAGCCGAAAAGCACAAATCCTGAGGGCGGCGTACGTGGATAGAAATCTCTTTAGAAAACTGTTTGACACAATATGCCAAATCTGAAAATATACTTATCCTATAACTAGCAATTTTATTCCTCAGTAAAAACAATACAAATCCATTCACATTTTCACCAAAAGATAAGTATAGACTGTCCTCCCAAAGTTCTGGATTACAGGCATGGGCCACCACACCCTGCCAGTCATTCACCTTTAAATCACAAAAGCTTTGTGATTGGTGAAGGTGCAGTAAATCTACACTTTAAACTCCTTGTAGAAATATAAACAAATATGGGCCTGCTGGATTTCACATGCATCAAGAACACTGAAGGTATTCAAAAACCTTGTAGGAACGTATAGGAAAAAAACAATCAGAGATTATCATAATAAGCACAGATTTAGTTTGAAGATGCTCATCGTAGCATTCTACGTGACCCTAAACAAGATGTGGGGGGGATGTACAGTTCAAGGCAATTTCTCTGATGATGATTTCCTTCCCTCTGTGGCCTTGCCACTGTGGAGCTCAATGGCCTGCTACTCACCGTGGTGAGTCAGAGCCTTTTAGTTTAGGACTGCAGACGTGCAACAGCCAAGATCTGGCCAAGATTCAGATTAGAGATAACAAGTGAAAGTCGTCAATACAGGCTGCATACAAGTGTGTGACTGGCCGGGCATGGTGGCTCACGCCTGTAATTTCAGCACTTGGGAGGCTGAAATGGGCAGATCACCTGAGGTCGGGAGTTCAAGACCAGCCTGACCAACGTGGACAAACCCCGTTTCTACAAATAAATAAATAAATAAAAATTAAAATTTTAAAAATAAATAAATAAAAATTTAAAAGGGGGAAAAAATGTATGACTTACCATGCTCCCATCCCTTTTTTTCCTTTTACAATGGTCTTGGCGCATTCAATTGTCTTCTCTAAATTAGGATTCAGTAAAGCTGTGGAGAAAATAAAACGGAAGATAACATGCCTGCAGGTGACGGCGGAGTTAGAGTGACATCGGGAAGGCACAGGGTGTTCACATCAGAGGCTTCCAGCGAATTCCAAGGATAAATCTATCCTTAGATTTTTAATTAGACAACCCTAAGGAGGTAGCAGGAAGTAGTCCAGATCCACTGATTTTTTTTTACCTTGTAATTCTTATAAATGTTTTCCCATTAAAATATATATGTATGTTTATTTTCCATGACGGAAAATATGTACGCCAGATCCATTGATTTTTTTAACTTATAATTCTTTTTTTTTCTTTTTTCAAAGAAAGAAAGAAAGAAAGTGAAGGAGAGGAAGAAAGAGAGAGAGGAAGAGGGAGAGAGAACGGGGGTGTTGCTTTATTGCCCGGGCTAGAATGCCGTCTAAAAATGGGTATGCCTATAATTGTGCTTAATAATAGAGACATGAAAAAAAAATAAGGGAAGAAAATAACAAACAAGCAGCCAACCAATATTTCACTGAAACCTGTAAATAGATGTGATGTGGTACTGATAGGAATGTATATTTTGTGTATTTAAAGTGGAGAATTCTATAAATGTTAATTAAGTTTACTTGTTCCAGATCTGAGTTCAAATCCTGGATATCGATGTTAATTTTCTGTCCCATTGATCTGTCTAATATTGATGTTGAAGTCTCCCACTATTATTGTGTGGGAGTCTAAGTCTCTTTATAAATCTTATATATCTGGGTACTTCTGTATTGGGTGCATATATTTTTAGGATCTTTAGCTCTTCTTGTTACATTGATCCTTTTATCATTATGTAATATCCTTCTTTGCTTCTTTTGATCTTTGTTGCTTTAAAGCAACTCCTGCTTTCTATTTATTTATTTTAGCTCTCCATTTGGTTGGTAAATCTTTCTCCATCCCTTTGTTTTGAGTCTTTGTGTATCCTTGCATGTGAGATGGGTCTGGATGCAGCATACCGATGGGTTTTGGCTTTTTTTGCCTGTCTGTGTCTTTGGATTGGGGGATTTAGTCGATTTAAATTTAGAATTAATAATAATATATGTGAGTTTAATACTGCCATTTAATGTTAGCTGGCTGTTTTGCCCATTAGTTGATGTAAATTATTGATTATGCTGATGCTCTTTACTTTTTGGTATTTTTTAGAAAGGCTGATACTGGTTGTTCCTTTCTATGTGTAGTGGTTCTTTCAGAAGCTCTTGTAAAGCAGGCCTGGTGGTGATGAAATCTCTGAGTGCTTGCTTGTTCACAAAAGATTTTATTTTTCCTTCGCTTATGAAGCTTAGTTTGGCTGGATGTAAAATTCTGGGTTGAAAGTTCTTTTCTTTAAGGATGTTGAATATTGGCTCCCACTCTCTTCTGGCTTGTAGGGTTTCTGCTGAGAGATCTGCTGTGAGTCTGATGGGCTTCCCTTTATGGGCAACCTGACCTTTCTCTCTGGCTGCCCTCAGTATTTTCTCTTTCATTTCAACCCTGGTGAATCTGGCGATTATGTGCCTTGAGGTTGGTCTTCTTGAGGAATATTTTTGTGGTGTTCTCTGTATTACCTGGAGTTGAATATTGTCCTGCCTTGCTAGGTTGGGGAAGTTTTCCTGAATAATATCCTGAAGCGTATTTTCCAGCTTGGATCAATTCTCTTCGTCACATTCAGGTACACCTATCAAGTGTAGATTAGGTCTTTTCACATAGTCCCATATTTCTTGGAGACTTTGCTCATTCCTTTTTTCTCCCATCTTGTCTTCTCGTTTTATTTCATTAAGTTGGTCTTCAACCTCCAATATCTTTTCTTCTGCTTGATCAATTCGGCTGTTAAAACTTGTGCATACTTCACGAAGTTCTCGTGTTGTGTTTTTCAGCTCCATTAATTCACTTATATTCCTCTCTAAATTGTGTATTCTTGTTAACATTTCGTCAAACCTTTTTTCAAAGTTCTTAGTTTCTTTGCATTGGGTTAGAACAAGTTCTTTTAATTCACAGAAGTTTCTTATCACCCACCTTTTGAAGCCTGCTTCTGTTAATGGAACACACTCGTTCTCCATCAGGCCTTGTTCCGTTGCTGATGAGAAACTATGATCCCCTGTAGAGGGAGAGGAGCTCTGATTTTGGGTATTCTCAGCCTTTTTAGGCTGGTTTCTTCCCTTCTTCATAGATCCATCCATCTGTAGTCTTTAATTACCGTCTTTATAGTTGGGTCTCTGAGTGGACGTCCAACTTGCTGATGCCCAGCGCTCAAATCTGAGCAACCCACTGCACCAGCCAAAACAGCGGCGTTATGATTGATGGTGCTTTTCTGACTCTGCACCAAGAACCGCCGCACCAAGGCAGCGGCAAAACCACCTCGCCGGCCACAAGTGTCACGCTGGCAACCCGTGGGGCTCCTCCGCTGGGAATCTCCTGATGCGTGAGCAACAAAAATTCATCTGAAAGTGTGGCATCCTCTTGTTCTCTGTGCTTTCACTGGGAGCTACAATCCCGAGCTGCTAGTGATCAGCCATCTTGGATCTCTCTCCTTAACTTATAATTCTTATAAAATTTTTTCATTAAAATATATATGAATATTGACTCTTCTGCCCTAGGCAACATAAGCAGCAATGGAGACAGAATCAAAAACACAATAAACTCATCCCTGCCCACGTGGTGCCTCCAAATGAGTGAAATCATAGGCAATTAAACTAATGGGGATACCTGCAATGATGGGGGAATGCCATGATGGGGGAATACCCAATGATAGGGGAAGGAGCATTTAGTAGGAGCACCTGATTCAGACTAGAAGGGTCAGGGAGGAGTTACGGGGCAAGTGACTTCTAAAGGAGCAGGTGAAGAAAGGAGATGGAGGGAGTCACAAGAGGAAGGTCGTCCCGGGCGCAGGGAACAGCACGTGAGGTGGCCCAGAGGAGCACCTGAGGAACCAACATGTCCACATTCACCATTCCATTCTGTCCTTGGAATGTGGAATCCAAGCCCTCTCACTTGGGACTACTGCAATACTCCCCTTGATGACATTCATATCAGCTTTCCTTAATCTAGTCTCATCACTTTTCCTTAAAACATCACTTCACTGCTCGTAAAACATCACCCCAAACTGCTCGTAAAACAGCCCCCCAGATCCCTGACTACGTTCAATCCCTGACGTGCCTTTCTGCTTCTAATCCTCACTTCCATAGCCTTCCTCTTCCACCCTGACATTCGATGCATGTCAAGGGCAGGAGACAAAGACAGTGTCCACCCTGAAGGTGGGTGCTCTCCCCACGAGACCCACAGCTTAGGGATCATAGAGGAGGGAGCCCTAAGGGGCCTGCTCACAGTTCTAAGGCCATAGCCTCAAGGTAATCCAGGCCTGCATCACGGAGCTTCTTGGCCACTGTGCAGCGCCCCAGGGTGTAACCAGGAACCACCAGTCAGCCAAGGAGGGAGAGAACCACGCATGCCTTCATCTTCTCCAGGCTCCTGGCAGCTGGGCAGCCATGGCCAGGTGAGTGGATGGAGTCACAGGGACACTGGTCCTCGGAAGGGAAAGAAGGGCACTGTGGGGTGCAGGGGGAGCACAGCTCAGCATCTCACCTGGTACACCAGGACACTTCTTCCCACCCTAATCCTCGGCTTCATGTCACTGCAAATCTGGGACACCTGAGACTCCGCCCCTTCGCCGCCTCACCCATCAGTGCGGAGGGAGGTTTGCTCGTCAGGGAGGATTCGGTTCTGAGGCAAAGGCCCAGCTGAGCATCCTCCGGGTTTAGGCCAAACTCAGGAGCCACACTGCTTAGGTTTCCCTTCCAGCACTACCACCCCCAGCTGTGTGGTCTTGGGCATATACTTACCCTCTCTGGGCCTCAGTTTTTCCATTTATAGAATGGGGATAACAGTACCCACCTCATGGGTATTTAATTAGATTGATTAGATGAATTAATTAGATGATTACCTACAAAGGGCTTAAAAGAGTACCTGGCAGTTAACAAGCACAGAGTGGCAACTGTGTAAGGCCTGGCACTTATTGGGTGCTCAGTCAATGCTCACAGAATGAGTGAACCCTGGCAACCACCTCTCCTTGGTCACAGGTACTTGGGACCACCTAAGAGCAGTGGGCAAGCTCCCCTTGGGATGCCCGGCTCCCGGCTCCTCGCAGTAACCAGTTCCGCCTTTCACAGTGGCAGCATCTGCCCCTGAACAAAGGGAGTGGTGGCCGCGTGGGCGAAATCAGGCCAGCTGGAGCCCTCTGCTCTGACGCCTGCAGCCTCCTCTCCAAGCCGCGGCGCCTTCTCTGCCCATCTGGACCGGGGTCTCCGTCACGCTTTCCTAGGTCAGCCTGCCTGGCACACTGCAGCCTGATCTCACTGCGTCCCCAGGAGTGGAATGCTCAGCTTCCCAGGGCCCCGCCCTGGATATGGCTCCTGCCACAGCCCCTCCTCTGTAAATTTTGTAAACTCTGGTGGTCGTTGGGAAGGCAGGCCTCGGACACAGCACCACAGCCTCCAGTGGCCTCGAATGGAATGAAAAGAGGGACTTACCAGAGCATGACATGTGGCAGCGGTTCCTGCCACGGTCGCCGCACCACTCACTGCCACGAATCTGAAAGAGGCCGAAGCCAGTGTAGCCATCACGCGTGTTCTCGTAGATGGCTGTGGGGTTGAACTTGCTCTCGAAGTAGGCCAGGCACACCCCTAAGGTGGAACAGAAGGTGTGCGGTTCTGAGGACAGCTGGAGTTGGGGAAGCCTGGCCAGGGAAGGGAGGGCAAGAAGGTGCGAGGAGGGAGCTGAGGGGCCTGCTCACAGTTCTCAAGGCTGTAGCCCTCGAAGTAATCCAGGCCTCCATCGTGGAGCTTCTTGGCCACTGTGCAGCGCCCCAGGATGTAAGCACCAGTTGGAACCACCAGGCAGCCAAGGAGGGAGAGAACCATGCATGCCTTCATCTTCTCCAGGCTCCTGGCAGCTGGGCGGCTGTGGCCAGGTGAGTGGGCGGAGTCACAAGGACACTGGTCCTCGGAAGGGAAAGAAGGGCACTGTGCGGGGGTGGGGGGCACAGCTCAGCGTCTCACCTGGTATACCAGGACACTTCTTCCCATCCTAATCCTCGGCTTCGTGTCACTGCAAATCTGGGACACCTGAGACTCCGCCCCTTTGCCACCTCTTGACCTCCTATTTTCGAAGGAAACTGCACACTTGAAGGCCCCCTCCCCAACCCCAACTCTTTCCATCCAGCAAAACCCATTGGCTCCTTCTGGGTTCGTATCTCTCATTTCACTCTGATATTAGGTATAGATGCTCAAGACCTTTCTTTCCTTTGTTGTAAAAGTAGACTCCAGTGATTAAATACATCTTGTAAAACAGAAAAGAGAAAAAAAAAGCATCATGGCCCCAGCACTCCAGCAGAACCTCTGCTGAACCGTGGGACTGTGTCCATGACTGTCTCGTGTGTCTTATTCCCAGTTGTATTCTTGTCCTTTACACAGTCTTGTCCCCAGGTTTTCTACAAACCAAACTCCACTGAGTTTTTCCCTTGCTGTCTGCGCAAGAAGGCAAGCCCAGACCTGCCACTCAGTGACAACAGACAAGTCACTTAGCCTCTCAGTGCCTCTGCTTCCTTGTCTTTAAAAGTGGGTCACTGGGGGGAGAGCATCAGAGAATGGACTCTTGAATTTAGGCCTCTCCATGCCACCTCAGGGGGCTGCCACGCCCTAAACCCACCTCCTCCTCACTGCAAGCTGAGTCACAGCCCAGTCTTCTCACCTCCAACCCTCCCGGCCAACCCATGCAGGTGGTATTTTCCACCATGACTGAGGAATGTCCCCAGAGCAGGTACAAGATGTCACTTGGAGAACACTACTAGTCCCCTGTTCTCACCGCAGTAAGCCCTCCATGATCTGGCTTACCCCACCCACCCTTTATGGGACAAATCTATTCCGTCAAGATGTCACTCCCTCTCTGGGCGCCTCGCACCTCCCACTCCATTCCCCCGGCACCCGTGCTCCTGCAAAATCCACCTGGTACCCTCACACACGTTTCCTCCCAATGCCCAGGGCCCTACCATGCCTTTCCTCATTCAAATGTCACTCCATCTTGAGGCCTCACCCCAGGTGCCAGCCTCATGCATCCTGATGGACCCTCCATGAAAGTTCCATTTTCCTCTGAGCCCTTATTGATCTCAGAGTCTCTTTCATGACACCCTGCAGGTGACTGTCCTGTTTTGTGTTCTGTCCCATTGCTCAGACTAGAATATGCAGTTGGAAATTGGAACTCATCCTCCTCCTGGAAAACCCCAGGACCCCAGCACTCCATCGTTATCGATCAGCTGGACAGTTCGTGGCCCCTTCTGCTTGCCACCTGCCTGTCCTGACTGTATACACCCCCAGGGGTTCTCAGCCTTGGCACTTGGGCTGGAATACGCTTTGTTCTGGGAACATCCTGGACATTGGAACTGTTTAGGAGTACCCTTGGCCTCTAGATGTCAGTAGCTCTGCCCCCAATTTATGTCAGACAAAAATGTTCCTAAGGGACAAAACTGCCCCCTGTTGAGAAATGTCTAACTTGAGCAAAAGTTAGAAATAAGTATATTCATGAATTAGAAGAATCACACTTTCAAACGTTTGTTCAAACCCTCAAGCTGTATGGTCAGTTGCAGACATGACCATTACACCAAATACAGCATCTAGGAGGACCTTGCGTTTCGGAACTCAGATTTGGAAATCAGATTGCCTGGGTCCAAGTCCCAGCCTCCCCATCAGCATCCGAAAAGAGATCTCAGACAAATCGCCGAACCTCTTGAGTCCTAGGTTTCCTGCTGTAAGGCACAGATTACAACAGTACTTCGTCATTCCTCGGTTTCCTGCCCTACAGCACAGATTAGAACAGTACTTCGTCATTCCTCGGTTTCCTGCTCCATAGCACAGATTAGAACAGTACTTCGTCATTCCTCGGTTTCCTGCTGTATAGCACAGATTACAACAGTACTTCATCATTCCTCGGTTTCCTCCTCTACAGCACAGATTAGAACAGTACTTCATCATTCCTCGGTTTCCTCCTCTACAGCACAGATTAGAACAGTACTTCGTCATTCCTCGGTTTCCTGCTCCATAGCACAGATTAGAACAGTACTTCGTCAGCCCTCGGTTTCCTGCTCTACAGCATAGATTAGAACAGTACTTCGTCATTCCTCGGTTTCCTGCTCCATAGCACAGATTAGAACAGTACTT